AACGTGAGGGTAGGGAAGAAAAGGTGCATGGAAAGTGGCTAAATGGCTACTATGTTCACGACCTTCTCTGTCAAGGGATAAACGGTGAACAAGTAGCGTCTCCAAGTACAGGAATAGCCTTGAAATGCTCCTCCTCCTCCTCCAGTACCTACCACTGTGTAGGAGGCAGAGGCATTCTACTTTCATATTTTTATTCAACAAGTTATCCACTGTCAACCTTCTTTTTTAGTGGTATTTATTCTCTGGTCTCGAATGAATTATGGCAGTGCATATTGTGAACTGATCTTTTTATTCTTTGGTTGTAATTGATCTCACTATGAACACACTCTGTTAGTGGGTGGGTGATGAACGAACTTACATTTAAGACTTACGTATGGCCCTCTCAGATGAGAGAGTCTATGGTTCAAAACACTTACGATAGCATCTACTGTGATACTGATCGTGAATTTTCGCATCGAAAACTAGAATAATTGCAGTTGCCCTTTCTTTCCTTTAGTTGTTTGGACAGTTACATCTTTGTTCATAATCATTTTATGATAATTTTCCTTATCATCTACACCCTTGGTAATATTAGCTATCTTTACATGTTAATTATAACTATGCTCTCATAGGATGAGCAACTGAAGCTGCTCGAGGGACAAGGAGCACTACTGAAATAGAAAAAAGGAACATGACTGAAACAGGAAAGAAATTCATGTCTATAACCAATTCGCCAGTGCACAGAAGAGAGCTATTCGAACCTTTGAAAGGGAAGATCTTGGAGGGGGGCTGAGTACACTTATCATTTTGAAGGTAAGGTATTGTGCATTTATAATTAATATTTCTATCACAGTTATTTTCCCTTCTCATAGTTTATCTAATTGTAGCAGCAGAGTTTCTATATAACTAGGGGTGGAAAATTATTTGTGCTTATTATCATATTATGACATAAATTTTGTCCCAAATGTTTGAACGAACGTTTAAGTAGTTATCTTTCCTAGTCTATTTTGGCTTGCTTTGGCTGGTCAAAGACTGCATTATGCTGCCATCCCTTGAAATCAAAATTTGCGGATTCGTCTTTTCTTCCAAGGAACTATTTAGATTGTTTGAATACTGAGAGGATACTAGGGAAAAAACGAAGAAAGATATATCCATAGATAGTATTCGGTGTTAATTTATCTTTAATTTTTTGTTAAAATTTAATAGCTGAGAATTAATATTGAGTGATTCAAATAGAGTATGGATTAGCTAGAATTTGTGGATAAGGCCACATGATAGTCCATAACGTGGGAGATGGTCAACGAAGGGAATTTTTTTCAATATTTTTGGCATAATAATATTTATTGTGATAATTTATTAATAGTTGAGAAGAATTTAAGATGTAATTTCGTAAATTAAATATAATTTTTAATGACTGTTAAATCCAATTGAATTTTTAACAAAAAATTCTAAAAACCTAGTTTTATATTGAGTTAAAATTTTATGATGATGGAAGATCAGAAAGGTTTTCAAATAGGGTTCAAAAGTTACTATACGAGATAAACTTTTTCTTATTGTTTTTACATATTTTTTTATTTAGATTCGGACTTTAAATTTAATTAGTATTTTACTATTTAGAAATCCATGCTAGATAAGTTTTAATTATGAATTTTTTTTTACAGGAGAATTTTAGTTTGAATTATAGATCTTTTTCCATAAAGGATTTTAAAATTAATATAAATAGGAGTATCTAGTTTATTTTAAGAAAAAAAATTATTATTTAGACTTAATAAAACACTAGAGAGTTTTTTAAAAATTTCAATACAATTTAAATATGTAATTTTAGAGCCTGAGATCCTTAACTTCAGTCTACCCTATATGTAATAATGTTCTAATTAGAATGAAGTCTATTCTAAAATCCCACTTTATATTTCGTGGGCGTTATGATTTGTGCCGTGTAAATGAATGGATTTTTGATGCAGCAGTTATGTGTAATATGGAACTTAGTAAAAACCTTGTCCTTGATGTTCCTGTGTTTGTTTGGATTAAACGTCCCTGGGGTAAATTCAAAATACCAATTCAAATGGCCTTTCCCAAAAAGAAATAAAAGACATTGAAGTCAATGGCCTATCCTTTCATGTTCTAGCCGTCTTCTTTCTCAAGTTCCCCTGCGTCACACAGTCACCTCCATGTCCTCCATCTTCTTCCCATCTAACCTTCTGTAAAGCCATGTCCAAAGTCTTGGTGGGGAGTTAGATCTGTTTTTCATACTGTACCCGCGTCATGTCACTTGGACACGAGTATTTGGAGGTAAATTGAAGAAGGGACAGAGCATCAGAGGCACTATCACCATTGATTTTCCTCAGAAAAATTAATCTCTTTGCCTCAATAAAGTCCTCACTGTTAACCTTGTAAGTATTTAATTTCGCTTTTTTAATTATATACCTTCTTGGTTAATCTTGTCCTCGTTCCTTGGACCTTTTTTTTGCCTAATTCTCTTCTTCTTCTTCTTCTTCTTCTAACCATTCAACTATATGTATCTTTCTTATAATTCTAAATGGTTTTCTACTTCATTTCTTTAATTTATTTTACAAGTGATATTATAATTTGGTTAATGATTTTCCTCTTATAATATTCCAAGTGTTGTATGACTTGGTTTCTTTCAAGTTACTTAGATTTTAAAGATTTTCTCTTTCACCTTTGAAGACCATGGCAAAAGACAATAGACGAAAACGTTACAAGAAAGCGAATAAAGATATGTTTTGTAGATTGCCTAAGGAGATTCTTGGTCATGTACTCTCGTTTCTTCCTATAAAAGATGCTGGGCGAACCAGCATTTTGTCCAAAAGTTGGAGAGAACTCTGGACATCACTTGCCAATTTTAATTTTGATGATCACATTCGGTGGCAACTACCAGCAGAAAGAGAGACCACCTTTGGGGATTTCATGGATAGGTTTTGTTATCTTCATAACTCCCCTGAAAACTCTATTGCAAAAGTTCATCTCAGAGTACATGGAAGCTATCCTTTTCCTGTATAAGCAATGGATTTCTGCTGCAATGAAGGACAATCTTAAAGAGCTTATACTATATACGTCTGATCATGTTCTGTTGCCTCGGAGAATTTTTAGTTGTGAGAAATTAGTGGTTTTGGACCCTAGTAATCGAATTGACATTGATCTTTTTGGGGTTGGTGTACGCTTTCCATGTATCAAGGTCTTTCATCTTCAAAACCTCCTGATGCTTGATGATCATGCTTCCATATAGAAACTATTAGCAGGTTCCCCGGTCCTTGAAGCACTGAAAATTGAACATGAAGATTGTGAATCCAGGAACGCCTTACGTATATGCTCAAGCTCACTGAACGCTTGATCATAACATTTACATCTATTGCTTATTACGTGAAGGATCCTGGTTGTAGAACACCAGAGGTGGTGTTTGGTTGGGCGGTGCGACCACCTTTTGTCAAAGTTTAAAATTAGTTTTGTTTAAACTTAATCTTTTTACTATGTTACGGGTAGTTTTAATATGTTAATGTTAAAAATATTTTTTAAAATGAAAAAATATTATTTTAATATTTTTTGAATAAAAAACAATTTAAAAATAAAAAATATTGTTTTAATATTTTTGTTTAAACTTAATCACACCCCCTTACTCTTGATACCCCTAACCTTGAGCTTCTTAAACTAACTGGTGTCCCACGATGCTGCAGCCTCTGTACTCACTAGTAGAGGCAGCTCTCCGTGTCGCTTATGAACATGTCTTCACCATGCAAGTAGATGATTATATTGACATGGCAATTCAGTTTTTGAGACCGATCATGCCTATTGTCAATAACTTACAATTGTGTGATTCTACTATGAGGTAAGTTTCTTCGTCATTTTAATGTTGTGCCTAAATTTTCCATGGTCTGATCACACGCTCCCTCAAATAGACATCCCTTTACAGACGCTAGCAGACACAGTTCTTAAGAAGTTGCCTGCCTTTCTTTGGCAATCTTCCTGATTTTCAGAATTTGACTCGTTTGGAGATTGAAGGTAGTGGAAATGATCGTTGGTTGGTCTTGCATGAGATATTCAAATGCTCTCCTGAGGTGGAAGTCTTCATCTTATACAAGGACATGGTCAGTTCCTTTAAGATTCATATGTTGTCTGCAAGTAGGATCGGAATTGTTCTTCTTACTGACTTTTAATAATTCAGATGGAGAAAACTGCCGAATCATTGAGGAGCATAATTCAATATGCTATAACATAAATCAAGTAACTCTACATCATTATAATGATAAAAGGAGCATAATTCAGTATGCTTATTGTTTTTGTTTTTCAGGTCATAGGCTTTATTTTCCATTGAAAAATAATATGTAAATGACAAGTTTATGGTTTACAATAGCAGAAGACATTCATTTTTACAATGAAAAACCATAATGTATGTATAATGTTCGAAATATAAGAGATCCACATTCATATTTTATGATGATTAATTGTCGTATTAAATCCCTTCACACTGCAATAGGGATTTTTACAGTTTTCCATCTTTTGTTTTCCCCACCTGTACTGATATCCCTTCACACCGCATAAGACCTCCCCCCCCTAAACATACGAGTTTTTCCTCTTCTACGAAAAGTGTGCGAGTATGTTACCTCCATTTGCATCATCTTTAATTGCCAGCATTCCCGGTGTAACGATTAATTGAATTGTAACAACTAAAATCAAGAAATCTTGTCAGATAAAGTATGAGAAATGTTGTTTTTTTCTTAACCTAATTAGAAGTGTAGCGATAATAGAACAGATAGCGCCTTAAATGGTTTAAAGAATAAATAGGTTGATCGTAGTAAAATATCCATGATTTTTAAGTAAAGCAACTATGATTGTAAGGTTGTGTGGTTTGTTTTATTTTAAAGAATGGCTTGAAGACTATATGGAACAACTTAAAATAATGAGAATGAAACCTTTTATTAAGGCTGCATGGATTGTTTTTATTTCTCTGTTGTGGAGGTAGGGGCATTACTAGGCCCATGACACGCTGGTCATGCAGGCTAGGTGAGCACAAGAAACCATGGCAACAACTAGAAGTGAGTTTGACAGAAGAAATAATAATTTATCAGGTGAAAAATACAAGTAAACAACGCATTTACTAAGCAAAGCAAGTTGTTGAGAGGATGTTGCCCCAAATGAGGGGGGGGGGGGAAGAAGGAAGATGTCTGATTTTAAAATAGTCCTAGAGGAAAAACACAAATACCACTCAAGCAAAAAGGGGTAAAAAGCATGGTAGTGGACCTGTGCAAACTGATTTATCAAGCATAAAAAAGTCTTGAATGATTGAAAGATGAGAAAAAGAAGAAAGCAATGACCAACAAAGGAGAAGAATTCGAGGAGGAAATTTCAAGAAAACATAACAGCAGACACCGAAACAGGTATGGCATTAAAAGCTTTAATGTTGACTTCAAAAGCTAAACAACAAATTATATTTAATCTCATAATTAATCCAAAAGGGTAATTTAAAATCAGCAGAAACAACTCAAACAATGGACACTGAAACAGGTATGGCATTGAAAAAAAAAGTCAAAAGAAGATAAGACTTCAGTGTTTGGGTTCGGTGGGAGGACTGGTACTTCATGGAAATGAAAATTCTCAACGACCTGTCCATTCTTATCAATGCTTACCTATTTCATGGTTACAGATTTTCTATGGTGGCGTCGGTTCCTAAGCTATCTTTTCTTGATTACATTTTCAACCAAAAGGCCATAAATGCTTGCAAAACCCCTTTTCACCAATTAAGCCCTTACACCTTCTGCAAGAGCAGCACCAAATAACCCTAATTGGCAAGGAATCCCTCAACATGGAAGATAACAGAGCTAAAGAGATGATTGAATGAAGACGTGAGGACCAACCTATTTGAACTTGAAGTGGATAAACGCCAGTGATAAAATAAAAAGGAAAAAAAATGCAGGTACATGGATAATGAAGTAATTTTTATAAGTATGAATAATTGACAGCAATAAATATGAAAAAGTGCCCAGGAAATAAAGGGAAAAAAAAAACAAACTCAAGTCCCTCTAATATATGAGATTTTCTCATAACTATTCTAAAAAATGGAGAGAATAATATCAAAATACCAGAGATGACAGTCGAGAAGAGTTTAGAGCAAGAGATATTCACTTGAAAACTGCACCTGGGTTTCAAACCGGTAGACAAAGCAAGGCTTGAGGATAACAAGGTCAAGACCAAACAAAGTAGAGAAAAGAAAACCCAAAAGGGGAAAAATGATTTGCTTGTAACCTGAAAGGACACCAATTAATCCGGACAGAGGAAAAATTAGGGTTTGTTTGAGGACAAGTTGCCATGGCAGTCCAGAGAGGATGTTGAAAGTTGAGGAAACCAGTCTCCAAAGTCAAAGGCATTAAATGGAAAGAGCTCATGTGTCAAAGCAAGACGTGTAAGCATAGGGAAAAGTGGTATCTGGAAACTGGACTAGAATGGAATGGGAAGGGCAGCTATATTTATCTGGTCAGAAGATATCGGGGAATGCCAAGACGAAGGGCCCAGAGCGTAAAGAGGAGGAGGGGGAAAGCTGAAACATACAAGAATTCCCATTTCAAGCCCACCTCCATCAAATCAAAACCACCAGAGCTCTAGCCAAGAGAATGCTGAAGAAAACGGTGGCAGCTTGAATTCAATGCCTAACGATTATAAGGATCCAATTACTGACAAAGCTCATAGTGTGTGACAATGTCTTACAAGGATGAAATGGATGAAATTAAATTTTGACTAGGGAGGACCAAGCCATGAAAAAATAGGAGAGGGACCTAAACAAGGAAGAAGAAGAAGAAGAAGTCATGAACACTATAGATTCCATAGTGCAATCCATCATGAACACTATATGGATCTTGAATTATATGCCATGCTACAAGGAATCACCATGTTCTTTTAGTTTTATTTATAAAATTATAATTATAATCATAATATTTATGTTCTCTCTTCGTATTCAAACCAGGAACAACCCACTATGGTCATTTTACTTTGGAATATCGAGTTTTTGTGACTGCAAAACTCTTATATTAATCCGGAAGTAATTATTGATGCTCAGTTCATGAAAAATAAACACGAAAAAGAGAAAGTTACGTTGAAACCCATCGAAGATGATTTTATGAAGATAATTTTTACTTTTTTATCACTTATTTTTCTCTTTTTTGTTCTATCTCTCTTCTCATAAAATAAATTTGAAATTTAATTTCGAAGTAAAATAAGATTTTTCCCACTTCCTATCTTATTTGAAAAAGGAATCATTCACGTGCCAATGCATGAGGTGTTGTTGTAGTGTCAAGTATTAACATAATATATATATCCAATGTTTTATAAAACTATAATATTCCAAGGCATTCTTGTCGTTGAACATTCAAAGTCCCCGTTACATCTCCCACTATCATAGATGAAAACACAAAATAAATTAATTACAAATATTAAAAAAAATAGGCATGCACGCACGTAGACACACCTTTAATTCTACCAACTTAGAAAAAAAACATTATTAATTAGCAATAGGCTATAATTAATCTTAAATAAAAATCAACAGCTAAGACGAAGTTGTTGGCGGGCGGAATCCAATCTAGATAGTATTTGGAATTACAGCATCAATTAATTTTTATTTTTAAAAAATTATTTTCAACATCAATAAATAAAACAACCTTCTAAATCAATTAAATAGACATTAACTAATAATAGTTTTATTTAAGTGAAAAAAGTGTAATGAGAGTATTTTATTTTCTCTAGGTTTTATCACTTCCTCATATTTTTCAATATCTTAGTAAAAATAAAACAATATTTTTTTATTATGAATTTATAAATATTAAGGATATGTTTGAAAACACTATACAATCACATGGACTAACATAAACCTTGGGAGGGGCCACTACTTGAAAAGAGAACAAGGAGGAGGAGAGGTGGTGGTCAACAAGTAATTTAAGCCTCGGGCGTAATGCGAGCCGTAATTTTTGAAATGGCCTAACTCCCGACACCCTCTACTACGTGCAAAACTAAAATACCACCCTGCTTCATATATTTTTTCAAAAATCTTACGTCATCAAACAACTGTTTGAGTGCCACGACATGCTATTTAATATTTTCATGTCTACCTTACCTAGACATTAGCCCCTTGAGACATCATTTGTTAAATCATTAATCAGTTTCCTTTTTCTCATATTATATTTTGAATTCAAATTCAATTAAGAAAAAAAAAACTCAAAGAGAAGTACCAAATATGTTTTATTTTTTTCAAAAACATAAGAAAACCCTGAAGTTTTTGTTAATATATACTTATATATTATCATATTGTTCCTAATTTAATCTAATGACGCCACAAAATAACTCAAATTGAAAGGAATAAAAACGTTTAGAAGAGAAATTGAGTTGAGGTGCTTCACTATTTTTTTTAAATTAATAAATATAATAAATATTCCAAATTTTTTTAAAAAAATGAATGAAATATAAAACATGTAGAAAAAATATGCATGATCCCAAATCCTCACCAACTTTAATTTTGTCTAAAAGTTCTTTTTATTTTTATTTTTCAATTCATGAATTTGAAAGAAAAAAGAGAAAGTGAATTGAAAACAATGAGATAAAAAAATTATTGGTTTAGTCACTTTTTGATGAACTAACATATCATTTTTAATGTCAATGAATTTTATTGGACAAGAAAATTTTGATAGCGCTAATTTTTTTCTTTAAATATCCTTAAAAAAAGAGATTGGACTCAAATCCTTAAAGACTTTTCAAGTAGTTGAATTTTACCTTTTAGAATGTTTTTAAGGTGTTTTGAGGTAATGATGTGATTTAAAGACTTTTTATGCAAAAATAAGTTGACAAAAGGATTTTCAACCCAAGAAATCCTTTTTTGTATTTTTTTTTTGGCCAACACAATAATGTTTAAAATAATCTATTTTTTAAGAAAGTTATAAGGGGTAGATGTCAAAAAACATTATAGCTCAAGCATGCGGGCTTGTCTCCTAGGCTTTTTTTTTTATAATTTTATTATTCAATAATAGATTAATTTTAAATTGATATTTATATTTTGGTATTATATAATTAAATTAAAAAAATATATAATTAAAATCCATGACTTGAATCATTGAAAACAATAAGAAGAGAAAAAAAATCATTGGTTTAGTTCCTTTTTGATGAAGCAACTTGTCATTTTTAATGTTAGGGAGATTCATTGAACAAGAAAAATTTGATAATGATAAATTTTTTCTTTAAACATCATTGAAAAAGAAGATTGGACTCAAATATTTAAAGATTTTTCAACTAGTTGATTTTTGGCTTTCCGGATGATATTAAGGTATTTTGGGGTAATGATGTGATTTAGAGACTTTTTATAGTGTTTTAAAGGTGTGTTTTATGCAAAAATAAGTTGCAAATGGATTTTCAACCCAAAAAATTCTCTTTTGTTTCT